ATATATATATATATATATAAACAAAAACCGCCTTAATTGAGCACACATATTGAGGAATATTCAAGTTGGCATATTCCAAAATTAAATATGGGACCATCCGAACTATAATTTCATCAAGTCAAATTGAATGTCTTAGTAAAACTAACCCAATGTCACTAAAATTGGTCCAATCCGAGACTAAATGAGCTCAAATAAAGGACTTAAATCATATCGAGAAACTTTAGAGCATTAATTGGATGATCAAATGGTATTCAAATATAGCATACTTATAGTTGAATCGAGCGGCTCGATAAGACATATCCAACTAGTATAAGAATGCTTAATTTTGACATTATTATGGCACTTAAATGTTGCATGAACACTCTATGATTAAAGAAATTGATACGGGTCATCCGATTGAGCACTTTGAATTTGCTCTTGATCTTCTTCATATGTAAAGAGCACGTCACTCTAAAAAATCTATAAATAGACTCTCAAATCCCACGTGAAAGAGGACCAAGACTTTTGGAGGTTTAGACCTTGTGCTAGAGACTCTACAGAGCTTTGAGGCTTGATGCATCCCGAACCTCCATCCCTTCGACCTCTGTCGCCTTTCGACTTCGATCCCTTCCACCACTGTCACCCAATTACAGTCCCTCTTTACTTCATCAATTGCCAAATACGACCATTCCGATCACAGTTGCTCAATTATAGTCCCTCCAACCTCTGTCATTGATCAACTATGGTCCATTCGATCACTGTTGCCCATCGACTACAGTCCCTCCAACCTTTATCACTCAATAACGGTCCCCTCTACTTAAGAGTTTGTTTTGGAAGGCTGCAGCTGTCAGCAAAGCGAATTGTGAAGTTGTTATATAGAAAATTACTTTTATGAAATGTTGTACAAAAATTAGTATATTTTGTTTGGGAAGTATAACTGTCAAGCTGTTGTGTTGTAGCTGTATGAGAATAAATTATTTTGATACCCTTAATGATATATATATATATATATATTAAAATTTAATAAATAATAGAATTTGAATGACAAATTTATAAATAAAATAATTTAGTACTATACTAACCTTTGTTAAAAAAATCAGAACAACCCTACCCAAATGGCCAAACTCACTAAGTTATGCTCATTTCCCCTTCTCACTCGTCATTGAAGACACAATCACTATCACCTCCGATCCACAGTTTTGTTGCCACCGTCCATGCTGCCACTTCTCGGTAAGCTCTCGCATCCTCATTAGGTACCTCCTTGGCTTGTCCTTTATGATCTCTTTCAAAAGCCCTTCCACGCAGGCTGCCGGAGCGATTTCACGGTTTTGGGCAACCACTATGGAACAAAAGGAGGAGGGAAATCCGTGTCAAATTGATCGAAGGGGAGCGCCTGATTTTGCGAAATGAAGGAAGTTTGCAAGCATGTTAATGATTCTTGAGGAGAGAGACGTAATTCTTTGCATAGAGATGTTGTCGTTGATTAAACAGGAGAAAGTGCTAGGCTTTTTTAGGTTGGAAAACGTAACCATAGGACAAATTTTTTTTAGAATGGAGCACGAACTCAGAATCCCAAACGATCCTTAGGTTACGTTTGATAATGTAAAGTAGTGAAAAAGTAATCCCAAATGCAGTCTAAGTTGCCCGACTACGATCCCTCTGACCTTCAACGGTCCTACTAACCAAATAAACATGCCAACACTCTTTTGAGAAGAACTCTCATATCGCTGGATTCTTCTAACTCTCACCATATAATATGCTCTATATGATATATATTTGCTACATTGAGCCAAGGCCTTCCCTTGAGGAAGGTCATCATTTCTAATTGACTACAAACACTAGTAAAATTACTTTAATTGGATAGACCCCATAATTTTTCTCATTTTCAGGATTTTATACTCAAAAATCTCGATGTCTCTTATGACTCTTGTACCCCTCTTTTTATCTTTATGTTTGTTGGATTTTCATACAAAACTAATATGTTAAATCCTATATCTTTCTAACACGGTGAATGTTCCGGCACACGATAAGCACTAACATCATAATGAACATTCACAATAGTTAGATGATCACACTAAGGCAGAAAAGAATAATTTTAGGATATATGCTTGAAAAATTGATTTTTCAATAGCTATGTTAATGTCCAGCGATACTGGGGTAATACTCTTCTATCTTTAAGTCAAACTGCTATGCACGCCTTGCTGATTCGTGAGTTTGGATGGAATCAAATTAGGAGGCGCAGTTCAGAAGAGATTGTGTATTTAGTTAGTCCTAATCGGCTGATCATTGATTTAGGTTCTTTTCTAAATCTCAATCTCTATAGAGTAAGCGAGTAATTTTTTTCTCTCTCTCATCTCCTTTCAATCTAGCTACTCTGAGCCTCTACTCTAGACTTTTACTTACACTCCTACTACGTAACTGGTTAATAACTGCTTATTCAGCTATCCATTTTATTACCATCTACTTGATAATTTTGTTTTGAAGTAAATTTTAGAAATATTTTATCAAGAAATTAAAAAAAATGGAGATATTTGACTAATGATGCCTCTATAAAGTCATATACACATACTAACAAACTAAAAACCTCAATATTTATAAAATTTATTATAATCGGTTTTTCAGAAACCCTAAGTGATTTATCGAAACTCTCTCACCGTTAGTCAGCAGACGGATAATCGCCTCCATATTTTTGGCCCCTTTACAAAGCTCCACTCCTTCGCCGCTTTCCCTAACCGCCGATCTCAGAAAGAGCTCTCCGTCTGACTCAGTAGCCTCAATCAATCCCTCTAAGGTTTTCCACTTTCCGGCGAGGAAACCCCCGGACATTCCGAGATGGCGCGCAATGAAGAAAAAGCACAATCGATGCTTAATCGCTTCATAACGATGAAGAATGAGGAGAAGCGCAAGCCCAAGGAGCGTCGTCCATACCTCGCCTCGGAGTGCCGCGATCTCGCCGATGCTGACCGCTGGCGCGGTGAAATTCTCCGAGAGATTGGCGTTAAGGTGGCTGAGATCCAGAACGAGGGTCTCGGCGAGCATCGACTTCGTGATCTCAATGACGAGATCAACAAGCTACTCCGAGAGCGGGTCCACTGGGAGCGCCGCATCGTCGAGCTTGGAGGACCAAACTACATGAAGAACATCGCCAAGATGACAGATCTTGATGGTAACATCATCGATGTTCCTAATCCCTCCGGCCGTGGCCCTGGTTACCGCTACTTTGGAGCTGCCAAGAAGCTCCCTGGCGTACGGGAGCTCTTTGAGAAACCGCCCGAGATCAGGAGGCGTCGCACTCGCTATGATATCTATAAGCGAATAAATGCCAGCTACTATGGATACAGAGATGATGAGGATGGCATCCTTGAGAAGCTCGAGGCAACTGCAGAGAAAGAGATGAGAGAGAAAGCAGAAGCAGAGTGGTGGAAGATGGATCAAATTAGGAGGGAGGCGAAGAAGGCTGTGAAGAGCAGCCAGGTTGTTAATGTGGAGCCTGCGTCCAAGGATATTTTGTTTGAGGAGGAGGAGGATGTGGTGGAGGAGGAGAGGAGGGAGAGGGAAAGAGTGGTGAGGGAGAGTATCAAGCAGCAGGAATTTGTTGTGCACGTACCACTGCCTGATGAGAAGGAAATTGAGAAAATGGTTTTGGAGAAGAAGAAGATGGAACTATTGAGCAAATACACCAGTGATATGTTGATGGAAGAGCAGAAGGAAGCCATGACGATGCTCAATGTGCAGAGGTAGAGCCCGTTTTGGAGGTTGCATCGAGCTTCAAAGACTTAGCCTGTTATCTTTAAGGTACGTTGTATTAGCAATTTCTTGTGCTGCTGTCATTGATTGATCACTGGTTGTCTCTAATGTATTGAGTTCTCATTTAGATTTCTTTTTTTTTTAATTCTGCTAATTGCCGTAAAAACTAGTTTTCTCTCCTTTATGCGTATATATGAAGCTGGGAAGGACTTCTTAGATAGCCTCGCCTAGCTTATTATGCATGCTTGTTTCCAAATTTGTGCTGCTCAAAGGCAATCTTTTAAAGAAGAAACCTCCTATTCTTAGCTTTCATCAATAGGTATTTTACCATATTTTATGAAGGCAGTATTTGAACCGTTGTCAAAGGGCCTTACCTATTTAGTCAATTGGCAATGAGTTGAGATCTAATAAAATAAATAAGATTTAAATTATTTTAATTTTGTTATACATAATTTTCAAGTTGCCGAAGAATATTAAGAGTGCATATATGAGCTACTTATGAGATGAACTTGCAAATTTATTAATAGGAATAATTTAAACATAAGGACTTGGAATTGTTGTATTTTGATAAATATGTAGCTAGGGACTTCTATGTCGCATGTTTGAAGAGTAACAAGAGTTTCAACAACTTATTCAATATGATTGGTTAAAATGATTGAGATTTTATTCTCAAGCTATCACAATTCTTTCAGTTAAAAGGTTTGGTATTGATATGGAGTTGCTCATGTGAACTTCAAGAATATAGTAAAAAAATCCGCTTTTGTATTTGGCTGACAATAAATTCTATCCAAATATGAAGACATGAACCTATTTTTCATATGCTCATATTGACTGTTGTTTAAGACATCAAACCTATTATTGAAAATCATTTTGAATAATTTCTTTTCATGTAGCTTTAGATCTACCATTATTCTTCTAGATTTTTTAACACTAGTTTTACCTATTGGTCTAACAGATGCATTTTTACTTTTCATTGAATATGTCCAAACACCTAAGTATACTTTCATTCACATTTTATTCAATAGATATCACTCTAAAATTTTCTTTGATATAATCATTCTTTAATTTATTGTTAGGAGTTTGCCACACATCCATCCTGATATTCTCATTTTATCAAATAATTTATTAATTTTTTTATTAAACCACCTAATGTTCTATTTTTAATTGACATGATGATTTACTATAAACTCTAATACCATTATGATGCTGGATGGTTTGGGTTAAGTTTTCTTAATATATTTATTTATGATGGGATATTTGTAAATTGCAAGGAAACTCAAGAATTTGCATATCACAACCACAAAATAAGTTGACAACTTATTTTCTTTAAATGTAAACTATAAATTCGAGAATTAGAAATTAAATGATCTATTAAACATGAATGAATAAAAAAAATGAAACACATAAAATCAGCTAGCGTTCTAATTTAATCACTAAAATATATTTTCAATCGTGTCAAATTTAACAAAATGAACATCACTAGAAAACAAATAATAAATTGTTTGGATGAAATAAGATCAAGGAATGATGAAGCAAGACATTCAAGCCTGACATTGATACAAGGATATGACTTCCCATGAAATTAAGTAGTTGCACTTGTACCACACTGTTAGACCGGTCCACTGGACCGGTCCAGGCGGGACCGGTTCACGGGAGAATATCGCGAACAGGCGGAGAAAGCTTCCGCCTAGGCGGAAGCCGCGCGTGACGCACGTCTTGCGGGACGGTTTTTGGAAGGTTTTTGAATGGATTTTAGGAGGGAAATTGATTGTAGGGATTGTTTAGGAAATTCCTTTTGAATTGTATGCATTAAATAGTAGATTTTCCTAGGTTTTCAGCATCTTGAATTTGGCTGAAATTTGAGATCTCGTAGATTTAGGTTTTCTTTGGGCTCTAGCGGCCTCTAGAGATTTGGGAGAGTTCGATCCTCCTCTCGAATTGAGGATCAATTGTATCTTTTCTATTTTCTTTGATTTCTAGTGAAATACAAGCGAAATCTTGTGTTTTTTCTCCCTTTTTTCCCTATTTCCTGCTGCGTTTTCCCTGTTTTTCTGCTGTTTTGCTTCTGTGGACAGCAGTTGGCTGCTGTAATTTTACTGGTTTGGGATAGGAATACTTGTGAACCCAAGTGTTTCCTATCACACACTCAAAGGAATCATTCATACAATTTGCATGCATAAGATTAAAAGTTGGAAGATGGTTTTTTTATTCAATCAAAGATATCCTATTACATGTCTCAAACTATCTATTTGTAGACTACTCACCCCTAAGCTTGTAGATATGGTTAACATAAGATCAACCATGATCAATTTAAGATGAGCTTAAATTCCCCACTCGACATTGCATACAACTTGTGATCAATAGGCCATAGGTAGCAGCATCATACTGGAGTTGAAATAGCCATGTTGTAGATGGCGCTTAACAACCATGTTGTATATAAAGGATAGCAGTAGTTTTAGTTTCAGTGAGCCCCTCCAAATAGCTAACAACTCATGTTTTTACTTTAAGGGAATAAAAGAATTGATAAGTTACATCACCAACTCATGTGCCAATAAAGATCTCATGCAGTCATTGTGTATAGCGTAGCACATGTTATTTTAAAAGTTGTTCAAATTACTTAAAAAATCATGAATAATTTAATTAAAATTCAGCAACATTAAAGAAAAATATTTTAACTAAAAAAAAGACTCAATGTCTTATAAATAAGGCATAATATTGCTTTAACATATTAATTATGTGCACCTATGTTTCATGCAAAGCTAATAGTATCTTAGAAATTTCTCAATAGCATCATAGGAGTTCATGATAGAATAATTCCAGTTAAGGCCAATGAGTTGTTAGAATAAAGAGATGAAACAATATGAATTGAATAGTTTGTGAACTTCAAATGGATATGATTAAGTGCCAATCCTCGACTTGATTAACTTAGTTGAAAATCATGCCAATCTTATATAAAACATCTTTGATTCACGATTTAACCTTCACAAGTCCATTTATCCAACCTCTTAATTCATGCATTCAAGAGTTCAACTTTAATAGCAAATAACAGGCAAACAATTAAAATGCAAGTTATGTATTTAGCTTAAATGGGAGAGGCAAGTAGATGGATAAATACAAGACCCTTCAGTAATTATAATTAATCAACACTTGAGCATATTGTGTTAATCCTTAAAAAGATGTTTAAAAACATCTAAATTTAAAATTAATAAAGTTTTCTTATTATTACGAGTCATTTAAATAAATAAAGCAATGAAATAAAATAAAATAATGTACACCACGAGCACTATGCTCTAAGTGCACATAGTGCATATAATGTACACTATTTTGCTTTGTTGCAACTTTCCATGCAAATAGCATAGGAGGTGCGTTATCTTTCGTTATGGGCTATAATATGCTATATTTTGAGCTATTGACATTTATGCCTCATTTATACCTTCATCCTTCAATATGGTGTAAAAAAGCAGAACAATAGAAAAGTTAAAAAAATATTTTAAATTTTATTATTACATTTGTACAAAGTGTGGAAGTATTTATAGAATTCTCCAAATGGCTTATAATGAAAATAAATCAAAGCTATTTACAAACAATAAAAGAAAAAAATTCTAAGAAGGGCCAATGGCTAGAATAGGAAGAGGAGGCACATGGATTATAATCTAAGTGTCATAAGAGGATAGATTCAATGGTTAGAACCCTCAATTCGTATTCTCAAGGATCCCTACCAAGATTGTTTGATTTGTGCCCATGATCCATTAATGCTCCCCCTCAAATTGAATGATATAAATATATCATTAAATATTTTTTTTATAATATTTTTGAACTTGAGGTTATAGATTTTTGATAAGAATGTCAGCAATTTGATTTTTTGCAAGCACATATGAAGTGAAAATGAATCAACTTTCCAGTTTCTATTTTATGAAATATCTCTGCCTCCATATATTTGGTAAGATCATGTATTGGATTTTGAGTAATGTTAATGGTTGATTTATTGTCACAATATATCTTCATTTGTCCCTTTCCATTTGATTTTTAAATCTTTCAAAATGTTTTTGATCCACAGAAGATAAAAATTTCCTTAGGCAGTGATTTAAATTTTGATTTAGTGCTAGATCTTTAAATAACATGTTTTTAACTCAAAGTTATGTGATTCTCCTAAAAATGTGTAGTATCCCGTTATGGATCGTTTATCACTTAGTGATCCTATAAATTTTGTATTTGTATACTCTTTATTAGTGGAAGAATATCCAATAAAGATACATTTGAGAGCTTTATGATCAAGTTTGCTGCTATGTTGTTTGTGGATGTAGGCATATGCAATGCACTTAAAGATTTTTGGAGAAAATTTTGAGGGATAATTATTTGTAGGAAAAAAATTCAGCTAAAAGATTAATAAGATTTTTGAATTCTATTATACTTATAAGGGTATTCTGTTGATTATGTATGTGAAAGTTATGATTGTTTCTTGTCAAATCTTGGTATTTGATTCTGAAAGAGAAGAGTCATGATTGCTTCTTGAAGTTGCTATTTTTTTCTTCCACTCCTTATTGTTGGCGAGTGTTAGTGTAAGGGGAGTGGTGGATGATACATTTTCTCTGGAAGTAAGAAGAGAATGTGCTATTAACGTAATCACGAGGATTATCAGTCCAAAATATCTTGATATTAACGTGTAATTATTTTATGTCATGTTACTAAAAATAGGGAGAATAATATAGAAATTAGATTTTTTGTTAGATAAGATATACCAATAACATTTGAGTGTATCATCAAGGAAAACAACAACTCTTGTAGATCTAGAAATATTGGAGATTTTGTTAGGTCCCCAAATATCAAAGTGAGCTATTAAAAAATGAGTAGAGAATACATAATCACTTCCAAGAAAAAAATAGCATGATGATGTTTAGCAATTTCACAAGTCTCATATCAAATTTTTTTCATATTTACATTGAAATTGTGGTCTTGAAATGGGGATGCTCTAAACTATAATGATGTTCTTGTATGGCATCTGCATTGAGAGTAAAAATAAAAGAACATGACAATTGATTTTCATCTTTAAAAAAAAATTCCCGTTCTTATATCTTGCTTACCCAATTATCTTTCTCGTAGTGAGTTCTTGAAATACATAATGTTTATTAAAAAAATTTACCTTATAATTATGTTATTTAGTTATTTTATGGATTGATAGAAGATTTACTACAATATGATCAATATATAGTACATTATTGAGGATAAATATAGACGTAATTGAATTATTTTGTTGAATTGCAACAGTTCTTAGAGAACCACCGGTCACTTTTAGTTTTTAATTATTAGGACGGATTTATAGGTTTGGAAAAGGTTGGCAAGGTTGGTCATGTAATATGTGGATCTCAAATCTTGGACCCAAGAGTAAAAAATTATTCAAGGTACTGAAAGCGTAAGATTTAAAAAGTATATCATTTTCAGCTATTAGAGAGCATGATTAAGATGATTTTTCTAGAGTTGAAAAAATTCATGGATTTTTTTCAGATCGAGCCCATTTGATTCTACAAGATAGGACTGCCCATTGTGGTTGCCTCTTTATTTTCACCATAACCTAGGTGTTTTCCATGGAGCTTCCAACATTTTTTTTGACGTGTCATTTCTTCATATAGTAATTGCAAAGTAGATTTCCTTTGGAAGAAGTTTTTTGCCCATCCTTAAGGAAAAAATATGTAGCAGCAAGTCCCTTATCTTGGGGTTTAGTGTTTTGCAAATATTTCGAAGATTGAAGCATTGAGCATTACTGTCCTTCTTTCTACTTTGGCTCGTATGAGAGAAAAAAATTTCATTTAGTAATGTTAGATTTTCGTTGCTTAAGATTTAGACATGAACTTGGTCAAAGTCTTTAGAGTCCTACAAGGAATTCAAACACTTTTTTCTCTTTATATGAATTGCTGGAGAATTATCACATCATTGTAGCATGTTATCTTGATATCTTCGTAATAATCCAGTTCTAGTCAATAAACTTTCATTGTATTAAAGTACTCATTAACAAGGAATTATTTTGCTTGGTTGTTGAAATCTTAATTTTGATCTTGTAGATGAAGGCAATATCCTTCACTTTTGAGTCTATTTGTTTGGCGGCGTTCTAAACATTTTTTGCAATAGATATGAACATATACTTTTCACTTAATTCAGGCTTCATGGCATTCCACAATCATAGCATGATCATGAAATTTTATTTATCTCAAAGCAATGTTTAAAATTACGCAATTGCATTTTGTGGCGTTTTTCATTTGTGAGGAGAGGCTTAAGCCTCAAAATTAGAAAATATGATAATTTTTTTATATAATAATCAAATAATATATTAAAAATGAACATAAGAAATAAATTGTCATATATATGAAACACAAACAATACACAAGATATAAAGTAACAAGTAATAAACTATGTAAAATTTAATTGAAATTTAAACACCACAATAATAAAACAACATAAAATGTTGGTTAGCTCAAAATTCTATCTTTCACAATATCTTGTTCATTAGCATTTAATTCAAAAAAGAAATAGTAATGGGCCTAATGGCTTAACAAATTGGAGGCAATCAACACTGTCATCATTGAGGGGGTCTTCATTCAAATCATCGTCATAATGAATTGCTTTCCCCCTGCCTCATCACTTGTGGAGTCTAGTACCTCCCAATATGCTTCTTCCTCTATATCAGTTATCTTCCCCTTCCATAAATATTTTTCGTCAATATAAAAAATGATTAATACTTTAAGTTTAATAAAGCTCTATCATAATTTTTTTTTTATGTACCTTTTTTGTTTTTTTCTTTTTGTACTTGCCCCGTGGTAGATGTAGATGCTCTATATCTATTCAAATGGTGTAACCTCCACTTAAAGAAATCAACATTTAAATCTTCATCTTGCAATTCAAATGGTGTAACCTCCACTTCATCATCTACAAACCACTCTTTATTCGATGCCATATAGATTTAACTCAATTTATTTATTTTTTTCAATCTATATTATACTTTATTATATTGCTCATTATGCACTTTCAAAATAATTTATTTCTTTAAGCTCCTTTTAGTAAATTCTCAAAGTAAAATTTTCTTCTTTTTTATGTCTTCATTTTATGATTCAATTCATCTTTATTGTTAATGCATCTAATTTGAATACAAACCTTAAATTTCTTATTTTTTTTGTCTTAACTATTCTATATTTCTCCTTATCTTCTTGTATTTAACCTATTATATAAATCATTATAAGTTGTACATTTTGCTATACTCACTATCGTCTTTCTAAGACTTTAGCTTTCTTATGATAAAATTTGATCGTTCAATTTTTGACATATTTTAAAAGTGATTTTTTTCTTCATAATAACTTTTTGTGCCTTCTGACTCCGTCACCAACTCTCCTTATTATTATTTTATTTATCGCTAGACTCTCCTGAAACTTTGTCAACTTATCCTACATTTTGCTTGGCTTAACTGAATAATTTTCATTTGCAACTCGTAGCAACCTATCTTGAAAGATTAGCAATTTCTCATTTTTCAAATTTCACCACTTTATCCTTGTACAATTTTTTTTCTCTTGAAGATATATATCTATAAGCTCTCCTTTAGTTGTGCGACCAAGCTCTCCTAAAATCTTTCCTATGAGAACATGCGTAAGCTTCTAGAGCGATTAACATCTGGGAATGCCACAAAGCCAAACATTTGTGGAGTCACGTTGAACTCTCCAGTTTGAGAGTTTAATATGGGTGATAAGAATGAAATTCACAATAAAAGAATGAGGTCTATAGAAACATTGTTTGATTAAATTTCTTTGAATTATTCTTATTATCCCAACGTGTTGGTTTATTGTTCAAACGACAATTATGCTTGTCCAATAAATTTTGGTACACTAATCTTGATCCTTTTTGTTTTTTCGAAATTTGTGGAAGATTGTAGTATATATACAAGTATTTCAAAGCCAACACGTGATTTACTTTTCTATTGGATCAAACCCCTGGTGTTGTTTTATTACCAAGCAATGAAATTTTGTCTTAGAACACTTTGTATTTTATCCAGTTCTACTCTTTCCTTTGGGCCCAGCAGATGAGATATTCTTATTTCGTTAAGGCATGATCTTCTATGCTTTATTTTTTAAAGTCAGGATAGTTTGGACTGAGGGAAGTGTGCTACAAAGTTTATTTAAATATCAACTCTATCATATGTCAGTAACTTACATACCAATTCATTTCTCCATTCTACTGCAGTAGTGATAGCTCTTCGTGTTTCAACTTTCTGCCATCTACTGTACTATGAGGAAGAGAAGGTTTTTCCTATGAACATTACCGGTAGGTTCACATTGAATGAAGCATCACTTTATCTTGGAGAAAAGTCTAAAATAGTCCTCCTATCAATAATAAGTGTTCAATTTAGTCACAGAGTTTCATATTGCCCTAATTTAATTCCTGATCTAATTTTGACTCTTTGTTACATGATTTCTCAAATGTAATGGAATGTTTTTGCATATCTTCCACTTTTCATAATGTGAGGGGGTATTTTGGTAAAAACATTTAAATTTAACTTTTTTACAAATACACAGCTCATACCAATCTGAAACCATTCAGTAGAAGTGCAAGATCAGGCGACAAAGGATTGCAGAGTTCCAACTTTAAGTGCAGCAAGTCATTGAAGCAATGTGTGGCAAAAATTGATAAGCAATGTGCAACCATCTTCGAAAAGGATTTTGGAGTTTTGTAGCCAATAACACCATTTTTATAGTAAAGATTTTGGATTATTGTAATCAATGACAATTTGTTTTATGACAAGGGTTTCTGAGATTTGTATGACAGACAATATTCTTTTACTAATTATTCACATTTATTTTAGTTAGTTTTTATTTTGATTTTTATATTTATTATAATTTATGAAATAACAAAATAGAACAACATAAGATAATCTCATATAAACTTGCACTACTTAAATATCTCCGCATTTAACTTTGATGTTAATTTTAATTATTATTGTTTTGTCCTAGGATTCAATTGGATCAATTTTTAATAGTTGAGGGACTAAATTAGGGCATTGCGAACTCTGGACTAAATTGGAAACTATTTAACAATCGGGGGACTAGTTTGAGCTTTTTCTTCTTTGGGCGGAAGCAGTCCTTACTAATAGTGATAGTGGATAACTCAGCAATAATTTTTAGTTCATATGTTTATCTAATATTGTCTCAATTATTTAGATGTATGTTTAGCTATTCATATTTTACAAAACTATCATTGTGGAATAGAATAACTAAATAATAACGCTAATCTTTTCATCTTCGTTGCAAAACAACTTATTAATGTTCGTGTTCTTAACTTTGATATTTGTTAGACCATCATGGATTGGCTCTGGTATACCAGAGGTGGAATAAGAGTTCCGCCCAGTAGGGTTCGGTCCCTTTGGGGTGGGGTGCATCAACCTAGTTTTAGAGTGAATTATGGGGAGATTTGGAGGGAAAATTTAGGAGGGTCTGTTTTGGGATTTACTTCATTGTTGTATTCTTTAAGTGGGATCTTTCCCCAGGGTTAGAGTTATATCTTGTTTGCTGAAATTGTAGTTTTCTTAAGGTGTTGTAGGCTTTAACCGGCAGCTAGAGAATTAGGAGAGCTGGATCCTTCTCTCCAATTGATGATCCTATTGTATCTTTCTTTTCTTTGCTTAGTCTTCTAAAAAAAAAATTGTTTGCGGATGTTCTTCTTCCCAATTTTTTCTTGTTTCATCCGCTGATTTTTGTGAAAAGGGCTTTCACTTCCTATCAAATTGATATCAGAGCATAGATTTGGTACATATGGCGTGGAAAAAGGTAGAAGTGTTGGAAGGGGAGACTAGAAATTTAAATCTTATTTGTTGGAAAATATTCTAGATTTCAAATATCAATTTTCATCCGTCCATGAGAAGATTAATGAAAAATTTACCATCATGGAGGAGATGATGAAGAAGATGCTTGAGATCCATACTAAAACATCATCGTCAGAGGCTGGGGAGCCGCTGACAGTCAAGGGAGTTGGGGGAAATCCTAATTTGATAAGGAGAGGGGAAGATTAATAGGTGGAGATCTCTGATAGAAATGGGAGAATGCCTTTTCTAGGACATGTTCCTTGGGAGGAGACGAGTAAGGGGTATGAGGAGAGGTGTAAATATGTTGGGGATGAGCGAAGGGGTGCTGATTTTGGGAGTATGTGGGGGGAATTTGAAGAAGAATTTAGGTACGAGCGTGGAAGGGACGATCAGGATACTTGGGGGTGATAACGCGCTTGGTTTAGGGGAATTTATGGAGGAATTAGGGGGAATGGCCATGGAGGATATCTGAGGGTAAGGAAGCTAAATATGTCCATCTTTGAAGGGGATGATGCACATGGGTGGATCTATAAGGTGGAGAGGTATTTCGCCATCAATGGGTTAACGAAGGAGGAGAGATTGACGACAATTGGCATGTGTTTGGAGGGAAACATTGGCATGCTACCAGTGGAGAAACATGAGGCGGCCCATACGAAGCTGGAGAGAGTTCAATGATAGCTTGCTAGAACGTTTTCGAATCAGCTAGGGAGGTGACTTCTATGAGCAATTTTTCGCTTTGACACGGGAAGGATTAGTAGAGTACTGGGAGAGGTTTGAGTACTTGGCTAGCCGAATGGACGAGCTTTCTAAGACTGTACTGGAGGGGAATTTTATGAAATGACTCAAAGCGGAGATCAAGACGACAATTAGAATGATGAGGCCTCATGATTTAGGAGAGGCTATGGAGCTAGCATAGCTAGTGGAGGACCATAAGCACTTGGAGAAGGGGGGGGGGTTAAAGGCGACAATTTAGGAGGCTCATACAGGATGACCACCACATTTTTTGCACCCAAGGGGTCTCCATCGGGTGTTTTTTTGGAGATTCCAAAGGAGAAGCCTATAGTAGGGAGAAACTTCAAGAATCTCACTGAGAAGGAGCTATAGGAGAAGAGGGCGAATGGATTATACTTCAAATGTGATAAGAGGTATACACCAGGGCACAGGTGTAAGGATCAAACTCTCTCGTCGTCTGTGATGACGAGGAAGCTGAGGAGGGAGGTGAAAGCAAGACATTGGTAAAGGAGGAAGATTTGTATATAAACATGATGGATGTCTCCTTGAACTCAGTGGTGAGATTCACTCCAAATCACACATTGAAAGTGAAGGGAGAAATAATAGACAGGGAGGTGGTGATGATGATAGATAGTGGGGCTACCCAAAATTTCTTCTCCAACTAGGTCGTAGACTAATTAGGGGTGAATCTGGTGGATACAGGGTGCTATGGAGTGATGATGAGCACTAGGAAGGTGAAGACGGGTAGGGGAGTGTGTAGGGGAGTGATTTTGATCGGTCCAGGTGAAGGAGGACTTCCTTCCATTAGAGTAAGGGAGCACGGATATGGTCCTGGGGATGAAATGGCTACAGACCTTGGGAGATATCAAGGTTAATTGGGGAGTATTGATGGTGGAGGGAAGAAGGGTGATGATCAAGAAAGATGCAGGGTTATCCAAAGCCATGGTGTCTCTCAAAACCATGATGAAGACCCTCCAGGAGGTAGGGGATTTTTGGTGAAGCTGCAGAGCTTAAAGGGGAGCATAGTGGAGGAAGGGGGAGACATTCGTTCTTCAATACTGCCACTTATTCAGTAGTTCAGCGAAGTTTTTTTAGTCACCATAAGGATTGTCATCATAGAGGGAGCAAGAGCACGCTATCATCTTGGGGGAGGAAGTGTCACCAATAAGTGTCAGGCCATACTGCTAATCTTAGATTCAGAAGGATGAGATTGAGAAACTGATATGGGAGATGTTATATGCAGGAAAAATCAGGTTGAGTGTGAGCCCTATTTCTAGCTTAGTCTTACTAATCAAGAAGAAGTCTGAGAGCTTGAGATTTTGCGTGGATTATCAGGCCATGAACAAGGTGACTGTGCCAGACAAGTTTTCTATTCATGTGATCAATGAGTTGCTAAATGAGCTTTGTGGAGCGGTGATGTTCACGAAGATGGATATGAAGTATGGGTACCATAAGATTAGGATGAGAGATGAGGATGTTTCGAAGACAACATTTATGACACATGAGGGACACTATGAGTTATTGGTAATGTTGTTTGGCCTCATCAACGCCCTTGCTACATTTCAACCTCTCATAATCAGGGTGTTCTGACCATACCTCAAAAAATTTATATTGGTTTTCTTTGATGACATCCCGGTGTAATGCAAGTCGGATGAGGAGCATTTGGAGCACTTGAGGGTGGTATTAGAAGTGTTATAGGAGCATTAACATGAAAGTGTTGTTTTGCATAGGACAATGTTGAGTACTTAGGGCACGTGGTATCTCAGGAGGGGATAGCTGCTGATCTGACCAAGATTGAGGCAATGTTGAAATGACCCATACCCAGGAATTTGAGGGAGCTAAGGGGTTTCCTATGGTTGACTGGGTACTATAGGAGATTTGTGAGGGGTTATAGTACCATAGCCTGGACACTGACTAAGCAGTTCAAGAATTATAGCTTATTATGGGGAGAGAGAGTTACCTATGCCTTTGCGAGATTGAAGCAGGCCATGACCATGATATTGGTTCTGGCCCTACTAGATTTCAGCTAGATTTTTGTAGTAGAGATTGATGCATCATGCTATGGATTGTGGGCATTACTTATGCAAAATCATAGACCAATAGCCTATTTCACCCAAATATTGACAACCAGAGCTAGGCTAAAGTCAGTATATGAAAAGGAGCTGATGACCATCATGTTAGCTATTCAGAAGTGGTGGCGTTATTTGTTGGGCTGACATTTTATCATCAGGACAGACCATAGGAGCTTGAAGTACTTGTTAGAGCAAAGTATGGTGATCGAGGAGTTTTAGAGGTGGCTATCAAAACTGTTGGGGTATGACTTTGAGATCTAGTTTAGGCCAGGATTAGAGAACAAGGCAGCAGATGCCTTATCCGGATGTGTAAAGGAGCTACATGAGTTAGCAATCTCGATACCACGTATGCTAGATTTGGGGGCTATTAAAGAGGAAAGTGTGTAGGACAACGAGCTGAGGAGGATTAGGGTGAATCTACTGAAGGATGAGAGTAACCACTCTAGTTATTCACTAGAGGGGGAGAGACTGTTCTACCATGGGAGGTTTTTGTTGCCCTGGACCTCTGTCCATATTCTCCACCTATTGCAGGAGCTCCATGAAAGCGTTGTTGGGGGCATTCAGGTGTGCAGAAGACATACTTGAGATTGGCATTAGAATTATATTGGAAGGGGATGCACAATGATGTGAAGGAGATGATGTTTAGATGTGAGGTATGCCAGATGAACAAATACATGGCCATAGTTCCAAAGGGATTACTACAAACCCTAGCTCTTCTAGAAAGTGGGAGGAGGTCACCATAGACTTTATAAATGTGTTACATATATCTGAGGGGTTTATAGTGATTTTGGTGGTGGTTGATAGGTTGAACAAGTATGATCATTTGATTCCCCTATGACATCTCTACACGACAGAGACAGTGGCGATTTCATTCATCAGAGAGGTGGCTATACTGCATAGGATATCATAGTCTATAGTGTCCAACCGAGATAAGGTGTTCCTTAGTCATTTTTAAAGGTAGCTGTTTAGGTTGTAGGGGATAGTGCTGAAGAGGAGCGCCGCTTACCATCCCCAGACAGACGGGAAGATAGAGGTGGTGAATATGAGCCTAGAGACCTACCTGCGATGTTTTGCGTTTGAGACACCTAGTTTGTGGGCCAAGTGGCTAGCATGGGCAAAACACTGGTACAACACTTTGTATCATTCAACTTCCCAGAGGACCTCTTTTGAAGTGTTGTACGAAAGGGTGTGCACTTTGGGCAGAGTAACACCAATTTTTTTAGTGGAGCCGTATTTGGAGGAGAGGGATAGGGTGTTGGATGAGTTGAAAAGGCACTTGTTTAGGGTCATTTGAGGAAGCAGGCAGATGAGCGTAGGAAGGATTTCCAGTTGGAGATAGGGGGTACTTGAAGTTACGTCCCGACAGACGAAGGATGGTAGCAAATAGGAAGAATGAGAAGCTAACTCTTAGGTACTTTGGCCCTTATGAAATAGTGGAGAGGATTGGAGCAGCGACTTATTGATTGAGGTTACCCCCAACCGCTACCATACATATAGTGTTCCACTTGTAACAGTTGAGGAGAGCTATTGAGGATCATGCATCTAGTTCAGAGTTATCTGAGAGACTAACAGAGGATTTTGATGTGGTGTTGAAACCACTGGAGCTGAAAGGGGTACACCAGGGAGAGGGTGGGCTCAAGGAAGTGCTGATAAAGTAGAAGAATCTACTTGACTATGACACCACATGGGAGTTGTACGAGAGAGTTAAGCATTAGTTTTTATCCTTTCACCTTGAGGACAAGGTGAGTCTTTGGGAAGGGGGTATTGTTAGGCCGGTCTAGCCAGTCAATCATGGATCGGCCCTGGTATACTAGAGGCGGAACAAAAGAGCCGCCCAACAGGGTTCGGCCCTTTTGGGGTGGGGTCCAACGGCCTAGTTTTAGAGGAAATTAAGGAGGGATTGTGAGGGAAAATTTAAGAGGGGCTGTTTTGAGATTTACTTCATTATTGTATGCTTTAAGTGGGGTTTTTTTCCTAGGGTTAGGGTTATCTCTCGTTTGCTGAAATTATAGTGTTCTTAGGGTGTTTTGGGCTATAGCCGGGAGATAGAGAATTTGGAGAGCCGGATCCTCATGTATTTTTAAAATCCATGTGTCTATGTTTGCGTGTTAAAAACCTTTAACCAAACATTTTAATGTACTATCTATTACGTTATAATTTGAACTTGTTTTTTTTTAACCGAATGAATCATTTCTTTAACACATGTTTTCTATATCAGCTCCATGGTTTTGGATGGTGGAAATCATAAATCATGATAGATAACAGATAGGGTTAATTTCGTCTCAAGAACTTTCTTTAACGTAAAGATGACTTACACCTCATGCTTTTTTAATGCAGAAACCGTCATGTGCTTCTGCAATCTGCACCATGATTTCTGCTCCAAGAGTTTTTTCAGTAGCAGGTTTTGTTTAATAAATATTATTGCTGTTGGAAAAATCTGTTGTTTTGTTGTTGTACGAAAAGCTAATGCGAAAAAGTGAAGCAATTGTTGTTGTCTGGCAAAGTTTATGTAATATATTTATTTGATGAGTAAGAGTAGAACTCTAAATAAATTCAGAATGTTTTGTAGATCTTGTATATGTTTTATGAACTGCCAAACAAAATTCTCGTATGTTGTATTTTCCATATTGAGCATTCAATTTTGTTACAGCTATAATTTCTTTGATTTTTTTTTGGATTAAAATAGTTCTAAAATTCAATACAAAATCAAAATTCCGTTCAAAATCCATATTCAAGTTTATATTTTTTTTTCTGGATTGATTTTGGACTCTAAACCCAAATTTTAATACAAATTTAAAGTATTGGGTCATGAATTGGATTTCATATGTTTTATCTCTCTTCAAGATTTTAGAAAGCATGATCTGAACCAAAACCATTAGAGTTACTTATGAAAGATTTGCTACTGTAATTGAAACTGATTTATTGCAAATTAAATTTAACTAATCGAATATTTTTTAACTCTGCAATTTTCACCTTATCTGTGCTGACAGGGAACTTTTCATATGTGTTTCCCATTCCTTTTGCATCGTGTGCAGGAAGCAACATTATTGATCTTTTCGGAATGGCAGGCAGATCTTTTGATGGGAGGTAAGATCTATTTGCTTGCCACTTGCTTAAAAGCTAAAATATTGCTAATTTTCTCTGAACATTTGATTTTATTTACACCACCAATGTAGCTTGACAGCTCTTCAGAATAAAACGTTTGATATAACTGCGTTTATTCTTACCTTGCTCTATTTGGCAAATTGTGTCATCTTGTTTGTTCTATTATAATTAATTAATATTTAGCTATATAATAAGTATAACTATTAAATTTATTATTTAGCTGCACGTTTAATTTGATCATTTGAGAAATAGTGAATAACTTAAGTTTGATTTGGTAATGTGATATTATGTTAAATATGTTTATTAAGTAGGATTTCTCATCCCCTAATGCAAATAGAAACATTAAGAAGAAATGTTAATCATATACATATTGATTAAATTTGTAGCACAAGTCAATTCAATTAACTCACTTGTCATGTCTGAGTCTTTCTCTCAAGATATAGATTGAAACTAGAATAAGAATTTAGATAAATCTCACTCGTGCAACATATCATTTACCAAGTTAATTGTTACATGTTGGTTAAAGAAAATGGCAAAAACAATATTAAATTAATAAACCTTTCCATTTGAGAAATAGAAAATATTTTAGTATAAAATTGGTATGATAATGAGATCAAAGGTATATTTGAAAGCCTAAGGTTTCATTTGGGACGAATTTCTTGCTGCTTCTTAAAGCAGTTTTTAAATACAAAAATTTTTGTATTAGAAAGCTGCTTTAAGAGACAATAAGAAAGCCGTCCCAAAAGAAGCCTAAATGTTCATTTCTCCTTTAGCTGGCTCTATATGATATATGGAGAACCAATTTCAAATTCTTAGCTGCAATAATCCAAACATAAGCTATTTTCTTTACACTAAATTCCTCTAGTTATTTCCTTCTTCCTTCAGTATTCCTCTAGTGCTCATTTGCCTCTCTCCATGACAAGCTTCCATTCAGAAAAGTCTATTGTTTTATTTCCTCTTGCAAGCCTAACTTGGTCAAATCATTTCACACTCACACAGTCCAATCCACCAAGGTCAACTTGATGATAATAAAAGTCAACATCTGTAAATCACTGCTGTGGTCCCCACCATTTGCTAAAAGTCAGCAATTGTGGTAGCCAGCTTTCAAAGCACCATAAGTCCTGTATTTCATCTCCATCTTTACTCATATTTATTTGCTGAAAGTTGATTTATTTCTTATTTGGTGTAAGATGTCAAAATCATGATATCATCTCTAACAATACCTACCTTACTGCTTTTTACCCATATTCTCCATTTTTGTGAAAGAAAGCTGTATAGTATATAGGAATATAAGCATGATATGAAGAGCCCCACCTGAAGGATTTTTGGCCTCACAATATTTTGTGGCTGGAGCAAATTCCTTCTTTAGTTATGTTGATTTTTGGGAGAGCATATTTTGAGTAGCCTACTTGGTTGGTTAGGAAGAAAAGTATTATGAACTTTTTTTTTTTTATTGCATATAAGTATTTATAGCCTATTAAAGGGCTTCAAATTTAAGTGGTATTTATACTGATTTTTAGGAAAGAGGTTATATAGTAGAGTTTGATCTATAACCTTTTTTAAATTAAATATTTGATTTTTCACTGTGCAGGATTCTTATGTAATTGATATTATGCTTAATTATTTGTAATTGCTTTTGTGCCCATCTTACTTAATGGGAAGTTGAGCATAATAATAATAATAATAAAGGGTACAAATTATGTTATGTAACTGTTAAAAAATGAATAAAATGAAAGGAAAAGCATTTAGAGAAAGCCAAAATGCAAAAAAATAAAAAAAGAGCAGAAAGAACTGAAAAAGACTTGGGGAAAAACATATTTTTTACTTCAAAATACAATAATAGTTATATCAAGCATTAATTCATTTTCAACTGAAGTCTCATTTTTAATACAAAAAATATATATTATGTGTATATTCTTTCTTATATCTATTTTTATATTTATTTTTAATCGAAATGGGTGAATGGCGTTCTGAATAGTGTGACGTCAATATTGGCATCGCACTGTTCACAGCCGAGATAAGACGCAAAAATAAATTTCCATTTGTTATTCGGGTGAACGCTCGTCATAGCTACAAACGGACGAATGCATTTAGTTGGTGATACCCTTAGATGTGTCTTGATTTATCAAAGAACAACATTATCAAAATAAAGCATCAAGTGTTGCAATGGTTGCACCCACCTTTCAATTAATACTCACATATGCATTGTTAAATGCACCACAATTCATATTGTTGGATTTAATGGCTTCTAGGAAAAACAGTTGAGTTCTGAAGATATAAGGGGAGAGTGAGGCCGACCTGGAAGCACTTCGGTGGCGCCGAGGAGTCTGATTGATCGAGGCTCAGTAGCCATCTCTTTTGAAAACTTTCATCCATTTTTGTGATTTTTGCACTCAATTTGTCCTCTTTATTGATATATTTTATTCACTTTGTTGATCGCAAAGTGTTTAAATACTAATAGTTTAACTATTCATGTGGACTAAACTCAAGACTTTCAAGTCCCTCAACAGTTTTTGTGTGAAGGTAGCTTATAATATTCATTAGCTGCTTATATAAATGTTTTCACTAAGCTTTTGCCTCATTGTCTTGCACTTCATTTGGAACAGCTTTTTCACTAGCAATTTTTTATTACAAAATATAAATTTTTATACAAAAAAACTGCTTTAAGAAGCAGTGATAAAGCTGTCCGAAACGAAACCTTAGAAAACTAATTTTGATTATTGTTTGCTTCAACTATTAGTATATCATTTGAACTTTATTTTAGGATTCATTTAATCAATTTTTTTGAGCTGTTGCTTTCTATATCAACTGTTTGATTTTGATCAATAGAAATCACATTAAACTATAGAAAACACAGACAGATTCCTTTATGTATCTGAATGATTATATTCCTGTGCTTTGCAATCTGCACCATGATTTTCTGTTTCTGAGATTTATCAGTGATATGTTTTTGTTGATAACTAATTAATATGATTGCTGTTGGGAAAAAATATTGTGAAGTTATTTTAGGTAAATAAATGGTAAAAATACCAATATTTGTATATACTTTGAATTTCTTACAGCTCAAACTAGTTATTTTTGTTTTGTTAATTTTAGTTACTTTAACTTTTTCCAATTTGCCTCTTATTAGAGCTGACAAACTGATAATGAAACTTTTGAAAAGAAATTCCATATCCTATCTATGTACTATGTGGGTAGGAAGCAATATCATTGAACTTTTGACAATGGCAGTTGGCTTATCTTTTCCTTGGGGTCAATTTACTATATATATATATACCTAGAAAATTCTAGGTTCGGATCAATCAGTTTGTCATATGGGCCGAGTTTGGGTTCAAGATTCTGACCCTTTTACAAAATTGAGTTGAGTTCGGGTTGACCCGAAACTTAGACGGAATGGACCTGCCTTATCCCCCAGTCTGCGTCCCGCACTCTCTTGAGTCGCGTTCGGGCGTACCAAACATGTGGCCGTACTGACCTCGCCTACAGCCCTCGTTCGATCGCATGTAGCATGTGCAACCTCGCATGTAATGGGATTGGTCAACCCCCACTTAGCTCAGTTCCCGGTCCCAAATCTGCATGGGTGCATTCGAGCATCCCACACCAGTGTGAGTCGTTGGCCTTCCTGCAACTCGGGCTTAGTCATCGTACTCACCCCCCAATGGCCTAGTCCGCGTTTGGGCGATCTCGTAGTGCTCACGTGTTCGAAGTTCAGACTTATGCGTTCGGGTTCGTGATCCTCGCTTAATTTCGCGTTCATGGGTCGGGTCAGGTCAACCCGATTAACTGAAAATTATTATTTAGGCATTGTTTGAGATAATTTTTTTACTATTTATAAAGTAATTTTCTAATAAAAAATTTTAGTGCAAGAATGTTTTTGTACTAAAAATAATTTTAGAAAATAATAAGAAAACTGATATAATATTATATGGTTAATATCTTAAATCAACATCATGGGGCAATAAATTCTGTGATCAAATGATATTTAAATCTTCATAGATAGTTCCATCAAAATTTGATGAATTATTACCAAATTAAAGGCTAATTAAATGAAAATATGACTCCAATATGCCTCTCAAAGTCAATACCATTGAATGAATCACCTTTCAAGAAGCTAATCTTCCTTTGACAAATGCCTATGAATTTAGTACCATTTGACTCTCAAACAGTCCACCTCACCAAAGCAAACTTTTGATAGCTTAAGTCAACACATATTGATAATAAATTAATGCTGGTTGGTCCCACCATTTGCAATGGCAGCCAGCTTTCAAAGCACCATAAGCCCTCTCTACCTTCTCCATATTCTCTGATATCTTCTAGTGCTGCAATAGGTCAATGCCATGCTATCATTTCTCATTTTCCATGTTCTTCTCCCACCTCTTCTTTTGGATTCATAGCCAACATAAAATGATTTGTTTTGAATATGATCCATTTGGATCAAATTTATCTAATAAATGAGCTGAAGTCCCAATCCAAATTCGACTCGACTAAACCTAAATCCAATCGAACATGATAAAATAGAACACCGAGGCTTCGTTTGGTACGGTTTTTTTATCGTTTCTTAAAACAGCTTTCTAGTACAAAAATTAATTTTGTTCTACTTGAAAGCTGCTTTAAGAAGCAATAAAAAAGTCGTCTCAAACGAAGCCTAAGATGCGTTGTCCAGTGTCAATCTAAATTGAAAGTAACATCATTATTATATTTAGACAGAAAATAATTAAAAACAAAAATATATTATTTTGGCTTCGTTTGGAACGAAATTTTATTTGGTCTGGTGAACGTACGCAACTCTACGTTCGGCCGCCAGTAGAATCGCGCCACGCGATTTCATTATTTACCGCGCACCCCGACAACCCGACCCGGAACGGATCCAAGATTGCTCGGTATTTCTAGGTATTGGTCGATTTTGCTCGGCAATAACCAATACCGAGCAATACCGAGCAATATCGAGCAAATACCTAGCAATACCGAGCAAATACCGAGTTGTACCGAGTTTTTTCTAGCAATATCGAGCAAATACCTAGAACTACCGAGCAAATCCCTAGCAATATCGAGCAAATCCTGAGAATATACTGAGTTGTAAAAAAACTCGTTACAACTCGGTATTTGCATGGTATTGGTCTTCACAGAGCGG